CTCCAGCTCCATCCATTTACCTGGAAATGTCATAATTTCATTCTTCTTTAAGGCTGAGTAATATTTCATTGCGTATATTTACCACATTTTCTTTATCCACTTACCTGTTGAAGGGCATCTAGGTTGGTTCCATAGTTTAGCTACAGTGTGTGGTCTGGCTTTGAATGAGTAATTCTCCTGCCTCAGTCTCTTGAGCCACTGGAATTACAGGTGTGTGCCACTGCTCTCAGTTATATATGGCTAAATTTGTTTGTTTAAGTTTTGTTTATGGGRCTGGGGATTGAAACCAGGGCCTGGCACATGCTAGGCATGTCACATGCTCTACCACTGAGCTATAGCTCCAGCTCCTACCAATTGTTTTTTAATGTTCTTTAAGAATTCTTTGGCTATCTTCAAATTGTGAATATTTTCTTCAAAAAGCTTTATTGTTTCAATTTTCACATTCGGATCTGCAGTMAGCCTGGATCAATTTTGTGTACACTCCAACGTAGGGATCAAGGTATGTTTTTTCCCAATATTGGTATTCAGTTGATCCAGTACCATTTACAGAAAAGACCATCCTTCCATCACTGCTCTGTGATGTCATAAATTAGTTGTGCAAACATAACATTCTGCCTCTGGATGCTTTGTTCTTGATGTTCAATCAACTGTCCTTGCATAATATCATAGTTTTATTTTATTTTATTTTTTGAACTGGGGATTGAACTCAGGGGCACTCAACCACTGAGCCACATCCCCTGTCCTATTTTGTATTTTATTTAGAGACAAGGTCTCACTGAGTTGCTTAGTGCCTTGCATTGAGCAACTCAAAGTCAGTGAGGCTGACTTTGAACTTGCAATCCTCCTTTCTCAGCCTCCTGAGCTGCTGGGATTACAGACGTGCACCACTGTGTCTGGCTAATATCATAGTTTTATAATATAAACTTTAAAAATTGGAGACTTTTATGATTTTATATGACATTATATTCATCTCCAAAGGCTCCCACTTTTTCAGAGATTACCTTGGTTGTTATTGCCCTTTGCATTTTAATATAAAATGTAGATATAACTTATCATTCTTTTGGATCTTAGATAACTATGCCATTTGAGAATACTGATAGTTGAAACATCACATGAGCCCTAATAATAATTTTATGTGTCAATTTAAAAAGGAGTAATGACAGTTTTGTTTCTTCCTTTCCACTTCTTATACTGATAATTTTTACCTTGTTCACTGTCTTCTTCAGCACAATATTTGAAAAGTGGTGTTAGTGAACATCCCTTAGAAGGTGTCATTTCATAGCCAAAGAGGAAAGACCCTAATCAAGTGGTCAAAGTTTATGTCACCAGCAGTGAGACAAATCAAAATCATGTAGCAACTGCTAGAATGAAATGAGAAAAACATAGAGTCACTACTATGAGATCCCTGTCAAAGACATATGACCTGAATAGAGACATGAGGAAACTTCAGACAAATACAGACTGAAGGTCTGTAGTCTTTAGGAGGTTCAGGGTCATGAGAGTTCAAGAAAGAAACTCTTCCAGACTGAACATTAAAGAGACATTATGACTAAATGCAGAATGTGATTATAAGGTGGATCCTTTTGCTAAGTGCATCTTTGGGCCCAACTAGAAGGAGTAGAATCTAGTCAGAGGGTTAGATGGTAGAAACAACATTAATTTCCCCATTCTGATGACTATGTAGGAAATATATTTATGGGAAATACTAGTGTTTGGGGGAAGTCATAGGGTATTGCTTCAGAAGCTTGCTCTCAAGTTTTTCAGGAACATTTTTAAAAATTATATTTGCAACTTTTCTATACTTTTGCATTGTGTTTCAAAATAAAGTGAAAATAAGCCAAACTTCACTTTATTGCAGAGAGGGCCACCAGGTGGAGGCCTTGGGCCAGAGAGCTGATTTACTTGGCCCTTCTGCTGGGTTAAAGAAAGCAAGGCAAGGAGGGAGAGTATTCTTCACGTTGATAAGGACAAAAATCAAACCACGGGCAGGTTAATTCATTTTAGAGTATCTCTATGAAGTTGGAAACAACTTTGTTTTTTGATTCCATTTCTTTTGGCCAGGTTTCTCAACTTCAGCACTACTGTCATTTTGGGCTGCACAATTCTTTGTTGTGGGGCTGTCCTGTGTTATGCAGGGTGTTTAGTAACATCCCTGGCCTCAATGTGTTACATTCCTCCAGTTGTTAAAAATGTTTGCAGACATTGCTAAAGCTTCCCTGGAAGACAAAATTCACTCCTGATTGAGAACTACTGACTTTCGCAATAATATATTCTTTGTTTTGGGCATTTTGGTTTCTGAAGCTTGTAGCCCTCTCAGGGTGGCTAAGAGATGTCTGGCCATACCTAGTTTGGCTGGTCCATAGTGGTGGTGGGGTTTTGCATGGTGGGACTGAACCCCAGAACCTGAGACGGGTGCTCAGTGCTGGGCTACTCAAAGGTGCTTTTCTATGCACAGAGAAGCAACAGAGCTTAGGGTAATAGGAAAGGCCTTAGACAACCAACCAAGATGAATAAAGCCTTGAGCTAATGGAAGAAAAAGCACTGTTCAAGGCCAACACCAGCATAGAAACTCCTGCTTTCCCTCAGAAGCTAGTGTCCAGTTCCTTTTACCTGGCTGGGCAGAACTTTAAAAAGCTGGAGATCAGCCATCATATGTTACTTTCCATCACCACTATATGATGGAAGACATTAAAATGTCCCTTTGTACTTCCCCACCTCATTTCCTTTCCATCTTCTTTGCTAAACCTCCACCTGTCTGCTGTACTTAGGCACTTGATAGCATACCCTAGGTTCCAGGCAAGATGCCTTCCAACCCCGTTACCAATGATGTAAATGCAGTGGATGGTGGTCCCCAAAGTTCAAGGACACTCCAATCCTGGATACATTTAGACCTTGTTTCTCTTTAATTTTTAAAAAATTCTGTTCACTCACTTTCCCATTATAGGTGCATATTCTGTAAAAAGTGCAGTTATCTCCAGTCCTTTAAAGATAGGATATGACGTCAGCAGCAGCCTGGGAGGGATGGGAAGTGCGTTGCTAGAAAATTGGGATAAATTCTGAAAAATGTCACTTCCTGGAGATAATGCTAGTTTAAAAAGTTCATTGTGGCTGGGCATGGTGGTGTATGCCTGTAATCCCAGTGGCTCGGGAGGCTGAGGCAGGAGGATTGTGAGTTCAAAGCCAGCCTCAGTAACAGTGAGGTGCTAAGCAACTCAGTGACACCCTGTCTCTAAATAAAATATAAAAAAAGGCTGGGGATGTTGCCATTGGTCRAGTTCTCCTGAGTTCAATCCCTGGTACAAAAGAAAAAAAAAGCATTGTGGCTGTGTTTGGTCAGTTGTAGAGTGATACCTCTCCTGGAGACAGCGAACCTTCTTCCTGGGTACAGGGATGGCAGCAACTTTGCCAGTGGGTGGCCCAAGGCAAGTCACTTCACCTCTGTGAGCCAGTGTCCTTGTCTGTGAAATGACAAATTGAGTAGATGACTCAAGATCCTGCTCCAGCTAAATTTTGATAATCCTCACCTTGAAGTTGGACCATTTGTGAACAGGCATCAAGTTAGGCTATTTTAATGAGGTGGCATTTAGTCATTAGGACTCTGTCCCTAGCTTCTCAACTCTCCCCACAGGAAATCAGACCTGGCCACTGCAATGAGGGCGGGAGCTACTGAGCCTGCCTGGTTGGTATCTTGTAGTTGGTATCCTTTGGGAGATAGAAAGGGAGTATTTTTTTTTTTTTTTTTTTTTTTTGTGGTGCTGGGGATTAAAGCCAGGGCCTTGTGCATGTGAGGCAAGCACTCTACCAACTGAGCTATATCCCCAGCCTGGGAATATGTTTTTTTATGATTCATCAAATCATAAGAGTATAAGTTCTCAGTGGATCCAGATTTCAATTCCAGGCCTTAGTGGCTCAAATGGTGCCCTGCATCAGGGATATTTAGCAAGTTGCTAGTTTTAATTCAGTATCAGTCTCATGGGAGAGAATGGAATCCTATGGACATTTTCCCAGTACTGGCTATGGTATCCCAAATGCACTCATTCACTCTATTGTTTCATGGTGTCAACTTTGGTCAATTTGTGATTCTGGTGGACATCTCTCAGATTGTGTGGCCTTTCTGAGAGGGGAACAATGCTCCTTGCTCTGGCACAGTGCTCTCTGCAGCCACATTCTACTGCATAAGGCTATCCTTGTGGCCACCACTGATGTACTGGTGAAGACCAATATAAAACAGGCTAACTGGAGTCTTGTCCTGGGGGAAAACAGCCAAGAAGCAGACCCAGAGTTTGTTCAAGGAACTGGACTGTGCCAGTTTTACTTGGAAGCTGGATAATGATCTTGTCATTTGTCCCATCAACTGGAGAAGCAGGTTATGGAGAGAGAGGGAAGGGCACTGCTGCAGTACCAACAGGGTCCAGGTGACATTCAGTGCTGGTTCAGAGTTTCCAGTGTCTGGCCACATCACTCCCTGAAATTCGGAATGAATCCCGTATTTCTGAAATAACGCCTCTCACCTGCTTTTGCTTTTACCTGAGTTCTAACTGGTGCTTTTTCTTTATCTGCAGTTAAAGAATTCTAACAAGTACAAGCATCTGACCTTACGGAGAGGCCTTGGTAGAAATCCCAAGTGGCAYGTAACCAATGGGTGCAGGGGTTTCAGTCATTGAGCAAAAGACAAGCTGTAACTTCAATAAATCATGTTTGCCAACTACAGGTGACAAGGTCAGTCTGAGATGTAAAGAGCTCCCTTTGACAAATGGAAGGTGATCTTCTATCTGGAGAGGCTCTAGTTGTTCCACTCAACCAGGCTTTGGTTGCATAGAGAGGGTCTCTTTGCCAAAGGGACACCTGGCAAAGAGACCCTCCATTACTTCCTTATGTAAAGATTTCCATGTGATGACATCAAATAGATCCAGAAACCACAAAGCAATCTCCATTTCACAGACAGGTCACCCTCAAGTTTAATGTTTTAGGTCTTAAAAAAAGAAATACAAGCTCTTCTTCCAGGAGATGTTAACTCTTTTATTAATTTAGGGTTAACATTGTATTTGCTTCACTGATTTATTTTTCAGAGTCATGGATTCAATAGACAACAGCTGGGTTCTTGCCAGCTCACAGGTGAGAAGGCAAACACATTATTGTCAAAGAGGGGAGCAGGACACTATGGAGAGACAAGGTTGAAAAAATTTAAGGCAAATGTTATTCCCATATTAAAGGGAATTGATCAAGCAGATCTGTGTATTTCAATGAAAATATATGAAATATTTGTCAAAATAATTAACATTGGTAAAAATTAGAACACGTAGCTTATAAAATGCCTACACAGGTTTGGCAGAAATAAATCCAGCCATGTCACGTAGGCTCATACTATACAGACACAGGAGCATCCACCTTGAGAGCAAGTCTCCTGAAGCACTGAGGCCGTGCCAGACATATTTTAAAAGCAWTTCCATAAAATGGAAAGGAATGGATGATTAGATTCGTGGGCTCGGTTTACATTTTGTTAAGTGGAATTGCTTGGTCATTGGGGTATCTTTTGGCTGGCCCTGGAATGCCTTCTTGGGACCTTCCTCCAAAGGCTCTGCATCAGGTAGAGTGATCATTTGGGCCCAGGGGACTCCTAGAGACACAGGCAGAACACAGTCACAGGACAGCTGGGCTCACTCAGAGAATGCTGCAGAGAGAGGAAGAGTTTTCTGATCTGGGTTTGGTATAGGACTTTCTAAGCTGCTGCTGCAGTTTCAAAAGGAGCTGACTATGTAGATTCCATCCCCAGCAGTCATACATTTTATGACTATTTTATTTACAGTCTGACCAAACTGTCCCCCAGGCTGCACTGTGGCAGGTGATGCACAGGTAGGTGGCTGGGCTCTTCATCACGTGTGAGGACAGCCAAGGGTCCTGCCAGCAGGCTGGTGAGATTTACTACAGAGCCGCGCAAAAGCATGGGAGGGAGAGCAATGTGTGATACCAAGCGAATTTCCTTTCTGCTTTGGTCTTAAAGATTCAGTAAACTTAGGGTCTTAGAAGCTGCTCTGAAGCTGGAGCTGTGGATTCTTGTAATTCATTTTGTTCCCATTTTGAGTTTGCCAGAAGACTGTAGCCAGCAAGCAGAGTTTCAGAGGGTATCCTTGTTTCAGGAGCATGTCCTTAAGGGCCACCACCCACCTGGTTCAGGTACCTACAGATGCTGCAGRAGGATCTGGCTTCTGGGGAGATAAAACTGTCAGACGCTGAGCACTGCCCCTGCAACAGGTTCTGGCCAACAGTGTAGAGGAAGGTGGATGGGTAGATGGATGGACAGGAGAGGCCCTGCACTCTGAGGGCGGCTGGTACCCCTACCCAGCCAGGAGGCACGTGCGGCAGCAGAACTGTATGAAGAGCTTCCGTTCGCAGAGCCGGTTGGATTTCACCATCTCGCAGAAGGTTTCATCAGCTGGGGTCCCGCATCAGGGAAGAAAAAGAAGGGAAAGATCAGACTCTGGGGTCTGTTAGGATTATTTCAACAGTTCTGTGTTTACTGTGCACTGATGGTGCATCAGGTGGGGGGCACACAAAGTCCTGCTCCTGCCATGTGTTTCACTGTGCAAGTCTAGTGTGGCAGAGGTAGCACCTGGTGTGCAGAGGCTGTTGCTGAGTCTAAGTGACAAGAGGAAGGTTCATGATGGGAACAAGTAGGATAGGGTGGGGGCCCTGGAATTCCAGCTGGGTTGGGCCAGTATGGCCTTTGGTGCACAAGTGGACCTGTCTTTCTGGTCTGTGCTGTGTTGGTGGGAGGGTTTAAGAAGAAGCATCTGTGGCAAGCAGGAGGGTGGGGCTGAAGGGAGGCAAGAATGCAGACTGCTGCCAGGTCCAGGGGACACTTCAAATGGGGAGGTGTGGGGATGGGAAGAAGAGAGACATCAAGGTAGAAGGACAGAACTCAGTGATGGGAAAGCTGAGGCTGGGGACAGGAGAAATGAAGGCTAATCCTTGGGCAGCCGCATTATCATTGTGATGCATTGTTATTAGTAGATCTGGGAATCTCTAGTGTGGCATCCTCACTTTCTTGGGCTGGATATATAACCTGGGCAGGTGACTTCCAAACAGGAAGCTTCCTGGCCTTTGAAGGGCCACAATTCTGCAAACCAAAAAAGTAATCCACGAGGCAGGGAGGTCACTGTGTGTTCTGCAGAGCACCACGAGGCCTCTCTCTGTGGGCTTCACGCTCTGGTGGGTGGGACAGCACCACATATTTGCCATGCCCTTTGGACACTCTGGAACTGTTTCCTTCCCTTGTGTGCCAGGACGTGGTGCCCAGAGCTACACCTGTAGCTCCTCCCTGCTGCTTGCTGAGCCACAGTATCCTCTCTATCATAGTGCATCTGGGAATGGCTCCTACACCAGACTTCCAGGACGCAGTCCTTGGCCAACCTTGCTTGCCTATAATGCCCAAATTGGGCACCACCTTTGGTTCCCTTGTGAGTTTCTGTTTTCACAACTTATCCTTGTCTCTTTATCTACCTGGAGAGTAAGAGTTCTCCCACAACACAAATGTGAGGCCTCTCTGTGCACAGGTGGCATTCCTGCTTCCTAGTGTGGGGCTGACTTCTGGTTCTGTCCTCTTAGTCCTAAGACTGAGTTGGGACCTCTCCCCTCAAGGAAGCTGCCACACTCAGGCTTTCTGGGAGCCCTATGGCATGAGAATTGGAACMGTACAAGAACAAAATCACTTTTAAGAGTCACTCAGCAAATAGATTAGCAGTGGCTGGGCTGGTCAGCATGTGAGAGACCCTACAGGGTTTTGAGAAGCCCCAGAGAGCCCACTGAATCAGGGACAAGTGTGCCTGTTCAGGGTGGGCCATGCCTGCTTTCCCTTTTGACCAGAGGCTGGTGGGCGGGGCTCACCGTTGCTGCACGTGTGGTTGGTGATGCAGGAGGTCCCCAGCTGTGTGAAGCCTGTCTTACATTTGCTGCAATTCCTGCTGGAGCCCTCGCAGCTCAGGCAGTTCTCTTCACACCTGTGGGAAGATACCAGCTGAGGCCTGGGGAAGAGGCCCAGCCACTCCAGGCTCCCTTCCTGGGGCTCTCCTACCCTCCCACCTTCCCTGCACACACCTGCAGCCCCCTCAGCTTTGGTCCTCTCTGGAGAGGCTGCGACTGTGTCCCCCAGGATGCTCTGAGACACAGGTCAAGCGTTGATGAGACTTCCTTTCTGTCTGACTTGACTTTTTCCCAGGAGGGTGAAGACAGCCATGGCCGGTTAGCTGGAGCATGCCCACAAGTGAAGGCCTGGCCTGCATCTCCGAGACTCCCTGTGGCATATCTGGACACCCTCCTGGGCTCTGGTGCTCACCCAAAGTGTGGCTCCCAGAGCTGGATGGGCATGTGCTTCCTCTACAGGCTGCCAGCTGCAGTGGCTATAGGCTTGGGGTTGGGGCCAGATTTCTCCCAGGGAGGTGACAAACCTGATTCCAGAGCTCACAGGAGGGCTGCTGCTGCCCACAGGCTGACTGTCCTTGGCTGCCATGCCTACGTACCTCAAAGAGGTGGGAGTGCCCTTCCAATTCCTTCCCCTCCTAGGATAGTCCTAGCTCAGTGTGGCCCAGAGCTGGACCCAGAGATATTATTAATGCAGAGTCCTATGATCTCAGGGACAGTCTGTACACTATAGTTGAGGTCACATTTACCAGTTTTACAGGAACACATGTTTTCACTYACATATGGTCTGTGGTTGCTTTTGTGCTCTGGTGGCAGAGCTGAGTAGCTGTGACAGAGGTGGTATGGCCCCCAAAGTCTAAGGTACCTACCACCTGATACTTTCTTTTTTCAGTGCTGGGATTGAAGCCAGGGCTGCTTTACCACTGAGCTACATCCCCAGCCTTTTTATTTTAAAAGTTTTAATCTTGAAACAGGGTCTCACTAAGTTGCCAAGGCTGGCCTCAAGCCTGCAATCCTGCCTCTGTCTCTCCATAACTGAGATTCTATCCAAACCTTCAAAGAAACAAGAGCTTGAGTCTGCATGTTCTCTCTCCAGGGCCATGTATACACTCACACCATACCGGTTGCTTTTTTTAGCTCCTGGTGACTAGGTCCATAATGCTCCTGGCTGATGCCCACCTCCCTATCACTTCCAGAGAAGCAGGGAACAGACCCCATGAGCGGATCTCAGAGCAAATGGGAAAGGCATGCGGGGCAAGAGCCTGGCTCTGCCAATGTATGGGCCTGCTTAGGACTGCTGCCTGCTGCCYCATATGTGAGACCTTCAATAACCAGATGCCAACAGGTCCCATGAAGGCCTCTTTCCAAAGTAATCCTTTGACAGGGTTTAAAATGGCCACCATGGGGCCCAGTTGTGGCATCCCTCCAGCTAGATAAGAGGTGAGTTTTTTATTTCCAGTTTGCCTGAGGAAGCCAAAATTAGAGTTCAGACCTTTAGTTTCTGCATGTCATTGTGTTAACCCCATGGGCAAACCCGCATGCAGGAGCCTTTCCAACTTCTTTCTCCAATAATAACAGCCTACCCATGCCTCACACTCTCACCAGGGCCCCTGGGTTGCAGGAGGAGGGGAGGAGAAGGTGGGGGCGGTGGTCAGAGGACTCATCAGAGTCAACCATATAGGATTCAATCTATTCCTAACTCCCTTTTAGGAAGCTCCTACAGTCTGGTCCCTGTCACACTACCTCCCTAAACACACCTCTGCATCTTCTGATGGTCCAGCCACAGGTCCCTAGTACACAAGGGATGATCTTTCCTGGGGGACCCTCCTGGCATCTCTTACCAACATGCACACCAGTGAGATGGGAGCTAGGCCTAATCTAGTCACTTAAATGAATGTCAGTTAGCTGGTAGACCTGGGCATCTCGGGTCATGACTGATGGGTGTGGAGTGGGCTATGGTAGAGAACTGGTAGGACACAGTATCTCTTCTTCAAATATGACCTTATTTGAATGTGGTAGGATGGAAACTTCCTTGGTTTTCTGTTGCTGTGTCACAAATTGCCAACAAAATAATTCATTCTCAGTGGCTCCCAGTTCTGCAGGCAGAAGCCCAGGCAGGCTCAGCTGGGTTCCCTGCTTAGGGTCTCACAAGGCCCAGGGCATGGTGGCAAGCTGGCCTGGGCTCTCATCTGGAGGTGTGGGAGAAGAATCCAGCATCATCCTGCCCTGAGACAGGGGTGATGCTGCCCCTGTGTCCTCCCGCCTCAGCTCCCTTGTGGTTCCTGTTTCCTCCTGTCAGGTGACTGTGCTGGCAGGTGGTTTCTTGGGCAGAGGGTGTTTCAGATGCCCCTGGTTCTTCTCTAATCCCTATTTCACCCCAAAACCCATGGCAACTTTCCCCTGCCACATTCTAGAAGGGAAGGCATGTGCCCTGCAGCTCCTTTTCCCTGCACCATTCTGGGGCCACTCCCATCAGCCTCCCACCTTCCATGTGAGAGCTGGACACAGGCCACCTGCTCCAGGAACCTTTGCCAAGCTTCAGTTTAAGTACAGACTAAAGCAGAATGCATGTCCCCAAGGGTCTCTATCTTACTGGGCATCCAATGGGAAGAGGTGGTGGGGGGATGAGAAATGAGTCTACCCCTTGGGCAAGTATCCTACCAAGTTGCTCTCTTTTTCTTCCAAGATATCTTTGCTTGTTCCTGAAGGTCCTCTTACTAAGGCATGGGGGTGATTAGAACCTCTTTAGAGATACTTTTCATTGACTATTCTGAGCTTCAGGCTGCAGTTCCCCCCGTCTTTGCATTTCGGTTGCTAACCCAGCAGGCCTGTGGGCTGACTTCCATATACAGCCCCCTGGACAGGCCAGTGTTCTGTCCTAGCTGCCTTGTCCTACCCACAGAGATGGCCAGAGAAACATTCTGGGACCTGGAGGAAGACTGTGGCTCTCTAGAAGCTGATGCTGTCCACATTGGGAGAGACCTACAGAACTAAGTGGACCAAGACCCTTCTTCCTGGGGAGGAGTCCACCCTGATGGGTTCTTCAGGGCCAGAGGACTCTGAAAGATGAAAGTTCCCCCACCCCACCTCCAGGTACTGGGGATTGAACCCAGGGGCACTCTACCACTGAGCTATCATCACCAGTCCTTTTTCATTTTTTATTTTGAGACAGTCTTACTGACTTGCTGAGGGTCCCATTAAATTGCCCAGGTTGGCCTTGAACTTGCAATCCTCCTGCCTCAACCTCCTGAGTTGATGGATTACAGGTGTTCAGTATTGCCCTGGCTTGAAACATGGAAATTCTGTGAAGAGCCAGAACTTTATCACTTGGTGGCTCTGCAGGGCTCTTCCTGGGGTGTCTGTCCTAGACACCTGGTGTGTCAGTCCCAGCACTGGACTCCCCTTGGGGTAAATAGCTTCTCCTCAAATAAGAAACTCCTGATCCTTCATGTCTAAGGAGGGGCGTACAGGGGCTGCCTGCCTCCTGCCTCCTCGATGGCCTCTGGGCACCACACAATGGGTCTGCCTGCCACAGGTGTGGGCATAGCATTCCCTGGAATCCAAGATATTTGACAAATTAAAGTGATTATCACTTTTTAGTTCCAAGTTCTCCCCAGATGCCGTTCTTACTTTAATTATCTGCAAACCAGCTGTCTGGGGAAATTGAAAGGTTTACTTCAGACAACTGTGCTCAGGGCCCTGAATAGGACTCAGCAAGGCTGGAAGAAATGTGGCGACTTTCCCATTTCAAACCAACTCAGTAGAGGGGCTGGACTGTGCACAGACATGGGACCCCTACCAGAGCCTCTTGAGGGTTACATAAGTGTAAGGACTTGGTGATCTCATTGGCTTACTGTACAGTTGTGTGTTTTTAAGGGATTAGGTGACAACCCACAGCAGTTCTCAGAATTGCCTGGGAGACAGGCCTCATTATGGGGGGCACCTACCAAAGCCTATGTGTTGCCCACTGATCATGATTGTCCCAGGCCTCTCTTTCTATGAGTCTATTTCAGACAGAGGGTACCACCCCTTCCCTCATAGCCCACCCCACTGTCACATCACTATTATCACCTTCAGCTCCTGCCTGCTGTTCTCTCCCCAAATATAACAGGCTGCCCTGCCTTGCTGCTGGGTCTGGGTTTATGATGTTCCGATATGAGGCAATCTTCAGCAAGAGGAGACCAAAGCACATGGCTTCTCCCTTAAGGACCAGTAACACTGCCAAATTTCCATTACCACACAAGGAAGGTGGACTGTGTGTGTGTGTGTGTGTGTGTATACACAGGAGTAAATGGAGAATGAGGGGGTTAAATATATGTGCATTCACTACAGAAGAAATGGAGTTAGAATGACGAGATGGTCAAGGTCCTTAGAATGTTTTTAAAAGCTCCAAAAGTGGTTTCCAGTGTGAAGCCATCCAGTGTAGTCTGCTACTTGGATGTGAGTACCATGAGACAGGCACCTTGTTCTTCTGTTTCTTGCCCCATCCCAGCTGCTACCCAGGGCCTGGAGCATAGCAGGTATTCATCGAATAAGTATGCATTAAATAAACAAAGGCACAAAGGTTACCGACTARCTTGTGATCTTGGCAATCACTAACTGTGGTCATTCCTTCCTCGGTAAATGGGTTCCTATCTGCCCACTGCACCTATAGTAGCAGGTGATGGGCTTTCTCTAGGCCCCAGAAAAGGCGCCATAACACCGGGCCCTCTGGCCACTCCTCTGTTGGACACAGCACGCTACCATTCCCCAGTGGTGTGAGCTTGGAAGACTGTACCTTCGACACACTTTGTGGGGCAAGCCAGGCATCTCCTCTGGGTAGAAGCCCTCACCACAAGCTGGCACACATTTCCAGTCTTGGAAGTGGAAGTTTTTTGCACAGTGAATACATTCTTCTCTGCTGGGCCCTGAGAGGTACAGGAAAGGAAGCAGATGTCAGGGACTATTTGCTGAAGGTCCCATCCTAGGCTTGTTCCAGTGCCCTGCCCTATGAGGTTTATGGTAATGTTTTAGATGTCCCAGGCCAGCCACACAGTTGGCATTTACCTGTTGCTTGCTGAGGACTGTGCTGTGCTCACTAACTTTTAGGTGGGCATTGCCATTCCCCTTTCACGGATGGGGTCACTGGACACATGATCTGACCTCAGTAGGGAACATGCCTTCCCATGGCCCATACTATGATGACTGGCCCTGATTCCAAACACTTCTTTCCCTGCCAGGCTTAGTTAGGCCTCACTTCTGCTAGAGCCAGTGCYGTAGTCACCCATCAGCCACTGTGGCCAAACCAAGATGTGCTGCAACTAAAATAGTACCCACTGGATTTCAAAGTCCTACTGTTAAAAAAGAATGCAACATAGTTCATTTTTAAAAATATTGATACATGTTGAAATGATAGTTTTAGATACATTAGGTTAAAGAAGATACATTGCTAAAATTATTTTCATTTGTTTCTTTTCACTGTTTTAAGATATGGATACTGTAGCTCAGTGACACAGCCTGCCTTGCACCTGTGAGGTGCTGGGTTCGATCCTCAGCACCACATAAAAATGAATAAATAAAAAACAGGTATTGTGTCAATCTAAGAGAGAGAGAGAGAGAGAGAGAGAGAGAGAGAGAGAGAGAGAGAGAGAGAGAGAGAAAAGAGGGAGGGAGGTGTTTACTGAGACATTTAAAATTGCACCTGTGGCTGGTATTTGTAGCCTATATCATAGTCTCACTGGATTATCAGGGCATTTTCAGTAAGAAAAAAAAAATGAGTAGGGGCTTATAGGGTGGGGAGGCGTGGTCTGAAGAGACACAACTTCTGAGCTAAGGATCAAAAATTATGGAGGAAATCCTGCAGCTTGGCCCAGAGTCAGTGGAATTGTTGCCCTTGGTCAGATGCTGTATTATAGGGACTAGACAAATATCCCCAAGGACTACTTGACAAGGGACCTTAGACAGAGGTAAGGAGGTGGCCACTGGCTGGCAGTTTAGAAGGCTGAGAATGGGAAGGAAATCATCTCAGATGTTGCTATGTTTTGGATATGGTTTGAGAGTGTCCCCAAATGTCATGTGTTGGGATCTTGGTCTTCAGTATGGCAGTGTTGGGAAGTGGTGGGACCTTTAAGAGGTGGGGCCTAGTAATTATTTCTGGTCCCTCCTCTCTCTCGCTTTCTGTCTTGCCATGCAATCCCTTCCTCTCAAGGGCTCCTGCCATCATGATGCCATCTTCCATGAGATCCTCACCAGAGCTGAGCTGATGCTGGCACCATGCTTTTAGACTCTAGAACGGTAAGTTAAATTAATCTGTTTTCTTTATAAGCATGCCACATCAGTTATTTTGTTCTAGTAACAGAAAACAGGCTAATCCACTTATTATGGTAAACTTTTTTTATCCCAATTTAATATGATTTTGGTCTTAGACTGTGGATTGAAAGCTAACACAGTGATAGTAACTCTTCTTGGAATAACTGGACTAAGCTGAGGCTCCTCTGCTGCATCAAAGGAAAATTCTTTGCAGAAGTTCCAGAGCCCTGGGGGCTCAAGGATCTGGGCCTACTCTATATCTTAGAACCCCCTAGGAAGAAATTATGAGCTCTTCCAGGCTAAGCTCATCCTTAGATAATCAGGAAGAATAAAACCCAGAGGGCACAGGATTTTGAGTGGGAACTAGAAGCAGGATCCTCTGGGGGTAATGGGGACTCTATAATGGTCCAGAGTCTCCACATGGGGTCCTTTCCCCCCTGTGATTGTGATTGAAGACTGCCCAAGGTACAGTAGGGATTCAGTCAGGTTTATGTTGTTCTCAATGGGAAGCTGGTCTCTAGCTTTGACCAACCAACCTTCCTATACTTTATCCCCAGGGAGCATCTGCAGGTCAAGGTGGCGGGCTCTGTGTACTTGGAAGGGCCTTCGTTCTGTGTTGGGACTCAGAGGATGTTCAGTGCCCACCACTGCCTCTCCCCTCCTGCCTTACTGGCTTAACTCTGTCACCCCCACTGTTCTTCCTCCAATACTACAATCTTTACTTAATGCCTGAGGAGCCTCTGTGTTGGCAAAGGAAGCTTGTTCTTATTCGTAGTCCCTTTGATGCTCAATTTATTTACTTTTTGGTGGTGCTGTGGATCAAACCCAGGGGTTTGTGCATGTTAAGCATGCACTCTACCACTGAGCTATACCTCAAGTCTAATGTTCAAATTTTTAAATGTAAAATTTGATTATGGGCTGGGGTGTAGCCAAGTGGCACAGCAATTTCCCAGCATGTTTGAGGCCCTGGGTTCTGTTCCTTGCACCATTAAAAAAAAAAAAAAAAAAAAAAAAGAGTTGATACACATTCAGTTGGGGAATATGAAAAACTCTGGAGGTGGATGGTGGTATTGGTTGTAAAACAGTRAACATACTTAATGCTACTGAACTATACATCAAAAATTGGTCAAGATGGGTGGCTGCCTCATTCATGGACCCCAGCGCAAAATGAATGCAGAGCCCTTGTTCAGAAAGCAAGAGCAGCGTGCCATTACAGGAACTAAGACAGGAAACAATCTATTTTTCTCTGAAATCTCTCTACTGAGCTGTCATGGTGTTTTTATTTGCTATTTCATTTGCTAGGCCAAGGATGCCCATGGTGAYGACTGACCCTCACAGGTCCCTGGGGCACTGTTCCTCATCCAGACCTGTAGGTGCCTAGATGTGTGTGTGTCCACTGGCTGCCAGTTGCTGACCAATGTCCCAGTTAGGTAAGTGGAGCCAGGTTGGTGCCACAGGTCCACTACATCAACCCATGGTGGACACACTGATCCCCAAGGGAATCCAAGCTCTACGCCAGGATGCACTGGGCACCTGCACTGAAGATGGAAAAGAAGCTCATTCCCGTGAAGTCACCTGTTGAGTGTGCTGGGGGTACAGGGTGAAGACAGGTGATATTATGCTCTACTTGGATGCCACCAGGTACTCAAAACTGACCCTGACCTTTCCCATGACTGTGTCCAGCACATTGTGTCGGTGGTAGACAACAGCAGTCACTGTGCAAGAGTTGGGAGAGGAAGGCCAGGCAGGCCCATGGCTCTAGGGGGCAGGGAGTGGGCATCTGAGAACAGATGCTTCTAATGACACCCACACCTGATGGGGAGCAAGAAGCTTCCAGGTGATCATAAGTGGGGGGGGGAGGGAGACTTCTGCAGCTGCCTGGGGTTGCACCTGTTCCTAGGAGGTTAGAAAGAACCAAGGCAAAAAAAAAAAAAAAAAAAAAAGAAAGAAAGAAAAAAGAAAGAAAGAACCAAGGCAGAGGAAATGGGGAAGTATGGAGAATCCTAGCTCCCAAGAGCTTTAGACTTGCATACTGTTGAATTAAGTGCCTGAAGTGATAGAGAAGACAAGGGATTGAGATGAGAAAACCTACAAGTGGTTCAATATAGCTCATCAAGAGGTCTGGGGACATGGAGAAAGAGAAGTGAATTGAATTATTAAATCAAAAGTGTTGTAAACTACACGCCTGAATGTTACGAATCAAGGGACTCTGGCATTTAAATAAGCATCACGAGTGATGCTTCTTAATTGACCTGGACTAAACAATGAGTCAAGAAACAAAAAATAAAAAGATAAAGATGACAGATGAAAAGATGAGAGGGCAACATGCTAGAAGAGCTGCTGGGCTGACCACAGGTGAAACTCTTCCAGATGCTGAGCTTGGTTCCTTCTGGGGTTGTTCCAGGAGGGTATGGAGGTGGCTTAGGGTCAGCCCCAACCATCACTTGTGGATGCTGGCCCTGACCACATCCTTGGTTACTCTGACATGTCCACTCCTGAACAGTCCAGGTGCAGCTACAAAGGGTTAGGCTGGCCACACTGGGGAGGGCGGTCTGCCCCATCCTGTAGCATTTCTGATGAATGGTGTCATGGCAACTGAGTTAGCAGACACCTAATTCTTAAATTTTTAGGCTATGAAAACTCACTTATATGAGTTTCTCAGAATACACCAAAGTGCTGGGGGAAGGAGGAAAGACAAAGAGGAGAAAACTTCATCTGAAATATATCTGAGCCCACAAACTCATGGTGTGCTTCAAGTTACTTGTGCAGATAACGGCAAAATTAAACTCGATAAAATGAATGCAATCTCCACGATATTCTGCATAAAAACTGTGCCTGGAGACATCTGTGCTATAATCTTTGTGGGGAATTACAATACATGTAAAATTGTTTATAGTAGTCTTTTCCTCTTTGAATAAAATGCTCAAAATAAGTGAACACAGGTACAAAGAATTAAGGTTTTGTTTTGAAACATCCCCATCCCTATTCCCACCTGGATCCATTTCAGCTTCTCCAGGAGGCTTCTGAATCTTTATGGTGTTAAATTTTAGTGCAATAATGCAGCAAAAGCCAAGCTCCAAGGCAAGATGGCTCATGAGCAGTTCAGTAATTTTTATCCCTTGCCTGAAAGCATTCACTGCCTGGCTGCATTTCTTTTCTCTCTTTTCCTTTCCTTTCCCCCTCCCTCCCCTCATATTTCATTCCTCTCCCCTCCCCTTTCCTTCTGCTCCCCTTCCTTTTCCTTTCCTTTCCTCTCCTTCCTGGGATTGAACCCAGGGACACTTCATTACTGAGTTCCATCCCCAGTCCTTTTTTTTTTTTTTTTTTTTTTTAAAAAAAAAAACCTTTTATTTTAAGACAGGGTTTTACTAAGTTTCTCAGAGTCTTGATAAGTTGCTGAGGCTTCACCTCAAACTTGTGATCCTCCTGCCTCAGCCTCCTGAGTTGCTGAGATTATACATACGCACCTATAATTATTGGCCTGGCTGAGTTTCTAATGCTGGGAAACCCAAGCTGCTCAGTGGGCCTTTGCATTTTTTATTGCTTTTTGTTTTCTAACTTGAAAATTGTGGAGTTATGTACATAACATACAATTTACCATCATCTTAATCATTTTAAATGTTCAGTTCAGTGGTATTAAGTACATTCACATTTGTTGTGCAACCATCACTTCCATCCTTTTCTAGAACTTTTCCATCTTCCTAAATTCATTAAACAATAACTCTTCATTTACCTCCTCTCATCCATGGGAGCCTTTATGTTTTATTTTGTTTTGTTTTGCCTTCCTGTTTTTATATTCTTTTTTTTTTTTTTTTCTTGAAGTACTAGGAATTTTCTCTAGGGCTTTGCACATGCTAGGCAAGTGCTCCATCACTGAGCTACATCCCAGTCCCTTGCCTTTGTTTTTTAAATGCTCCAATAAATGCATATGCCCATGATGTTCTAGGTTTGCTTTCTAGGTTTCAAGGTAGCTAGCCTAATCCTCTCAGTAACCCTGACTGCAACTGTCCAAGGAAACTAAGGCCTCTGCAGGCCCTGAGCTCACCCACGCAGGTTCGGCAGGTATGGTGGCATTCTCCACATCTGATCAACTCAGAATCAAAGTAGGTGCCTGGCTCACAGTCTGGAAGACAGCTGCCCCGTGCAAGGCTGTTGAAAAGAAAAAGAGGCTGGTTTCCACATCTGTTCCAAAATTCTAATGAAATTATAATTTGCCTTCAAACATCTTTCACAGGAGGAAATGAAAGTGGTTGAAGCACAAGGCTTTGTGTCTCTGAAGGCTCCCAGCTAATGAAAGCTAGCAAAGCTCTCCTGAAGCTAGCTAGAGGTAGGCTGTGCCTTGGTCCTGGCACAGGAGGCCCAGGCCTCAGGCTCTTTCCTGTGCCAGCTTCTCTTTCACTGCTGATTCTCAAAGGAAAACTGGAGTGTATGGGGTTACCACTGGTGGCATGCTGGCTCAGCTGCATGGTCTGAGTCCCCCTTGAAGTGTCAGATTTGCAGTGTATCAGGGGGGTGTCTGCCACAAGGCTGACCCTCAGCCCTGAATCTGCCCCTGCTTCTCTGGGCTTGAAACCTTCCTGACTTCACCATGAACTTGAAATAAGATCCCCTCCTGGGACCTGGCAGGTCTGCTTGATGTGGCTCCTGCTTCCTCTTTCACCCCATCAGTGCCTGCCCTTCCCTCACTCCAGCCAGGCAGCCCAGCCAGGCATCACAGGGACACAAACTGAGCTAGACCACCCACACTGGGTCTGGCTCCACCACTTCCCTGCCTGTAACCCCAGGCAGGCCAGCTAACCTCTCTGCACCTCCGTTTCCTCCTGTTAATTGGTTCCTACAGTATAATGTGCTTGGAGGACTCACTGAGTTACATATAAATATATGTAACTGTTTGGCATCTGGCACACAGCAAAGTACATAAATATCACCCACCATGATTTCTTTAGTTCCTGAGATTGTACTGTGTCTGATACATGCATTTTAAATGGGTTTGCCACAAAACATTATTGAACAAACTCTCCGGGCTGCAGCTGTCAGATCTAGAGACTCCTGCTATGATATTGTGATTTAAAATTAGAAATATTTATTTGGTCTTCATCCTGTTACATAGCTCCTAAAACCCTTGGAATCAATAAAATAATAAGTTTTTTTTGTGCATGATAATGAGATGACAGGTGGATGGGGGCTCCTAAGTAGTCTCAGGATGGGGGCTGGTTGCCAGGTGAACCAACCACATGATTAGAGGACTGGGATTTTTAGCCCACCACCACAACCTCAGAGGAGGGGAGAGGGGCTGAATGTTGAATTAATTATCAGTGGTCAATGATAATAACTCATGATCCCATACTGAAGCCTCCAGAAAAACTCCAACAGAGTTCAAAAGAAGCTTCTAGGTTGGTGAATGAGAACACCTGCTGGAGGCTGGCACACCCCAACTCCACCGGGATAGAAGCTCTTGCACTCTTGCCCCTTTTAGACCTCATCCTATGCGTCTCTTCATCTGGCTGTTCATACATTTCCTTTGTAACATCCTTTACAATAAATGGGTAAATGTAAACAAAGTGTTTCCCAGAGTCCTGTGAGCTGCTTTAACAAATTAACCAAACCCAAGGAGCTCAGGGGAACTCCAATTTATAGCTAGGTGGACAGAAGTATGGCTACAACCCGGGACTTGTGACTGTCATCTGAAGTGGGGGCAGTCTTGGGGACTGAGCCCTTAACCTGTGGGATCTGACCTACCTGCARATAGCTAGTGTCAGAATTGAGACAGATTATAGGACACTCAGTTGGTGTCCTCTGGAGAATTCTTTTGTGTGTGGGGAAAAAACCCACACTTTTTGGTGACCAAGGGTAAGCGTGTTGAACTGAGTACGTGAGAGTAGGAAAAACACTTTGATTGTTCTGATTCTTCACATCTACGTTTAGTGGAAAGTTCTGTAGGTTCTCCATTCCAGTAACAGCAGTGGCAGCCCACCCAGGGCTCTTGCTCATCATGGGGCCAAGGCCGCTACGTGAGGCAGTTAAATCGTGTCTTTAATAACTGACGTTCCCCTGAGATTATCCCCCTAAAAAGATGGATGGCCAGGAGGCAGCAGCTCGGCTGCTCTCTCACGGCTTCAACGTGACAGCAATGATTTGAAGTCACAGCTTAAGTGGATATTGGGCAATAAAAAGAAGCTTTCTGTGGATTATGGCTGATGATGTTTCCAGAGTTTTCGGGCTTCTCTGAAAGCTTATCACTGCTGGAACCCYGGCTCCTGCTTTCCTAGCTTCCCCCYGACCCCCGACAAAGAAATAGGTTCTCTAGGACCCCCCAGCACTTCACAGGGAAATGGGTTCCAGGGAGTTGGATCCACGAAGCCTTTCCTCCTTGACACCCTCAGTTGGCAGCCTGGGGAGAAGGATTCTGCCAGCGGGACCTAGGACATCATAGCTGGCCTCCCTTAGGCCCTTGGTCATGGCCACCAGTGGAATGTCTCCTTTCTCTTCTAGCTTTTTTCCTTTGGGGAGTCTCCTTTCTGGACCAGTTCACCCTTTTACTTCTAATCCTGCCTAGTCCAACCAATGAGTTTAAATAACCGTAGGTGTGACGTGTCACTTTGGGGGAGGGGTCTTGTTTTCCCTCCTCTCCCCAGGCTCCCAGGTTCTTGGCACCGTCTTCTCCCCAGTACTCATCGAAAAGAATGGCATAGGCTGACGCCAACGTAGAGCCTCCTGGGGGAAACCGGAACCTCCCTGTCTGTAAAGTGTGAAGCATAGTATCATAGGTTGCTGCAAAGATCAAATGGGGTGACATTGGGGTGAACACCTGGATAAGAGCTGATGCTTAGTGTTTTCCTTCTTCATTCCTTAACCCCTTCCCCAATTCATCTCTGTGGTAAATTGCAAGTCCCAGTAGCATTGGAAGGAAGGGAAACTGGACTAGGAAAGTGGGCTGTCACCTCACAGGGCCTCACTGTACAAATGCTGCTCCTTGTCTGGATTGGAAGTGTCTCCCTCACTTGAAAGCCTACTGGAAACAGTCTCAGGCTTCCCCCAGAGCAGCTGTATTAAAATCCGCATTTAGACATGAACCTTGGTGATCCTTGTGCCCTTCATGGGGAAGAAGCACTGATCTCTCCAACCCCATCCCTTCTTTCTTTCCAATGCAGACCACAGTGCTAACACTCCCTCTAGTACAGAAGTGTCCACAGCATAATTTCAACAGAATGCTTTCTGAGTTTCTAGACATTTTCTAGATAGTTATGTACATTTGATGGCCCTAAATGTAATTTGGTTGCATTAAATGGGCTAACGAACAATTCCAAACATAAAAAAAAAATCACAAACTCTGCATTTCTTTAATGAAGGATGAGTGTGTGTGTGTGTGTGTGTGTGTGTGTTAAGCTTTCAGAGAAGCTCGAAACTCATATATATGTAGTAGATGAACATAATACCTTTAATTCATTTTTTTTTAATGTGGTAGTGAGGATCACACCCAGTGCCTCACATGTGTTAGGCAAGCAATCTACCACTGAGCTGCAATACCAGCCCCTCTGCATTGTGTTTTTAAAGCAATGGGTGCTGAACTTCACAGGGCTGAGCATGGTCRAGCAGGGAAGACTGGGAATCTACAGAGCATCCTCAGGGAGCAATTTCTCCTACTAGGATGAAGATGCCAGAAAATGGGGTGCATGAGGGGGGGAGAAACAACAATGATGGAAAAGARGAAGGATGTATGAGCTATGGCAACCCACCCCTGGGCTGGGCCTAGAGRGGAACTGGAGTAGGAACAATTAATGGTGCAAGGAAGGCAATGATGTGAGCTTCCCTCAAAGACTCACCTTCCAGTGGTCAGCCCTACTTTATGGTCAGCCCCACTGTTACTTTGAACAACTCTCCAAATGTTGCAAAAAAATGTAGATTAGACCTGTCTTCACATTTCCCTCTTAAACAACCAGTTCCTAAGTGGACACATGATTTTCAGCGACTGGGAATATTTACTCTGAGAGGCTTYGGGCTTCTGACATTTTAACTTTCAAGAAAAGATGCAAAAACTTGGTGAATCAATGACAGAAACTAAATGCAGCTTCAACAGGTTGTCGTTCTTCACGTTTTTTTTTTAAAGCGCGGAGGGTTACCTGAATCCTTCCTTACAGACAGTACATTTCTCAGGTTCATCCACACACTTTTTACAGCTTGGATGGCATTTAAGGCAGTTTTTCTGACCTGGAGAAAAACAGCAAGATGAGGAAAACAGAAGGGGCAGGTTAGAGGAAATCAAATCTGGAAAAGGAGCCTCCAGCATTTCACAGCAGGTGCGGGAGGGCGGCTCTTCCCCAGTGTCTATCTCCAGAAAGGATCCAATAATAATGAAACACCCAGAGGCCAGGTAGGGACTCTGTGCTCAGGTGTGGAGAGTGTCACTGGTGAGTGTCTTACCACTCTTTTCTGGGATAGGTCAAAGTCCTTAAATAACTACCATATTTTGGAGGTGGTTCTTTGTTCAGAGGAAGCACGGTTTGGTTCTGCTTATTGCAACAGGGATGGAAGCCAATTCCTGGCTGAGTTTAACCAGGTGAAAATCTTTATAAACTTGATGGGGTGGGGGAGCCTGGATGCCGCTGACCTTTCTCCCCTAGAGCTTTCACAGGGGTCTTTTCTGAAGACTCAGCATCTATATACAGGGAGAYAGGAACCTATGACAAGCCATCATGTCTCCCAGGGAAATTCTGGGTCACTTCAACTCCCACCTTCACTTACATAAGTCACTCATGTTGGCATYTCATAGACACTGCCTTGTGCCACTATTAAGTGCTATGAATCTGGAAGCAGAGGGCTGCTTGCTCCACCTCAGTGCAGCCTCCTTGGAGCCACGGGCATGCACATGGCAGGTGCTCAGCAAGGACTGAAGTGAATGAGGGGATGGCTGATTCTGGCCCTGGGAAGGGAGTAGTATGAGGGAGCCTGAAAACAGGTCTGGCTGGCAGCCCAGGGCAGGTGTTCGCAAAGGCTGTGAAATGTGTCTTATGACTGTTTCCCCTCTGAAGAGTGTCTGGTTATTTGGTAGCTTTATATGTCGTTACAGATTTCCTGGCTTCTTCTCCCCAGGAGTAACAGTGATGGCATGACAGGCTGGATCCTGCACAGTAGGGGCCCAGAGAGGAGCCCTGCAGGAAGGCCTGCTACCAAAACATCCTGAATATCAAAACAGTAACCTCTTTCACTTGTTTGAGCATTATCTCCATCAATTTAACCCAAACCCTCTGTTGTCTCTTTTAGGGTAAGGTGCATGATAACACTGCCCATTCTGCCCACCTTCTAAACACAGGATACCTGGAGGGGCTGCTCCAAGTTCAAGTCCCACCTGTCATTACTAGCTGTGGGTCTTTTACCATTTCTCAGCTTCAAGATGAGGAAAATACTGCCCACCCTTTAGGGGTATGTTCACTTCCTRTAAAGAGCCCCCACAAAAAACGGACCCTTCTGAGCCCAATTCTTATCCCCTCAGGTACTTCTTCATTTTTGGAGGACTGTAAACCTTTTGCCTACACCTAAATCACAATTTCAGCTCAGCAGCTCTATCCAGGAGGTTTTTTTCCCCCCAGTGTTGATCCTCAATTCCATAAATTCAAGTTGAGGCTCCGGCCGGCCCCAGTCCAGGACACCTGTCTCCTCTAAGAAAGAGGAGAAATTATAGTAGAGCCAGCAGGGGATCCTCTCCTGGTGTCTGAGAGCTATGGCCGAGCCACGTATCTGCCCGCCCTCAGTAGCGGACACTGTCTTGCACACGTTTGAATTGCATGGTCTGCCGAATTCTTTGCAGCATCACTTTGAACTTCTCCTGCCAGGTATGTGGGTGATCTGCTGCCAACTGACAGGTCTGAGCACTCTGATTTCATGTAGTTGCCTCCTGCCTGTCCTGTGAAAGGTCCTTGCTGAGAACAACAGAGTACAAGAGGAAGCCAAGGCCAGGGAAGTCCTCCCCGGGAGGGGATGCCAGCCTAGYGACAGGGAGCTGGCTCATGCCTTCTCATGCCCTCAGACATGCCACTCACTTTCATCAGCGTAAAATCCAGCAGGACAGAGGGTCACACAGGTGTTCGTTTCCTGGTGATGATAGAACCCGCGGCGGCAAGACAGGCACTGTGTTGGGTTCCTGCCCAAGCAGGTCTCACACCCCTTGTGGCATCTTCGACAGCGTCTTGCTGCTGTGTCCCCAAAATAGCCTAAGGGACAGGAGCTCACGCACTTCCTGTGGGAACAGGTACAGGTGAGAGCTCCTGTGGATCAACCTCCCACCCCTGTGTGGCCCCTGCATAGGGATGGGGGAAATACTATCCCAGAGCTTGGAGACCCCTGCAGACTCAGCAAGACACTGAGGACATGAGGGCCCTGGGGGGAATATTAAGTCATAAGGGAGTGTCCTGTGTTGGTGAGCACCCTTGAGAGGTTCCTAAGGACACAGATGGAAGTTTGAGGACTTGGGTAAGAAGCCTTATTTTCTCTTGGAGGCCATCCTGGTGGGAAGTTCTGAGGTACCTGTGGCCTCCCACAGGCTCCATGATGTTGGTATTTGACTTTTGGAACTTTTGGTTCTGCAAAAATCCTACCAAAGGTGCCCTTGGAGAGCAGGTCTCTGGGGCACTGAATAAAGCTCCAGGACAACTGCCTTTGTGCTGAGTGCACTGGGACCGCCCTGGGACTGGGAACTCCAGACACTGAGAGCACCAGGCCTGCACCTCCACCCTGCACAGGGAGCTCCTGCCTGGACCTCGTGGGTGTGCACCAGCAGCTTTCAGGTACATCTGTCACCTAGGCCCTTTAGGAAGCTCCCAGTGTCATCTAGGCCTACCAGGCCTGGCCTGAGCAGCAYGTGGCAGGTGCTCAGGAAGGTTTGTGAAACCAAGGAATAAAAAGCAGAGCAGCTGCAAGACTGACAGGGAAATGTGGGAGGGTGGTGATGCCAGCAGTTCAGGTCCTGGCTGCAAGGACCTGCAGGTGTGCACGCTCACCTCAGCAGGGCCAGCGTGAGCCTACACAGCTGGCCACATGCCTGGGGCTCCCACATCAGCTCTGCCAGCTCCTTCCCTCCGGGAGCATTTAGTCCCACAGGCTTTCCAGGGAGCTGCCAGGAAAACCCCACACTAGCCAGAGGCTGCAGCATGTTTTCCGAGAGCCACAGCGTCCCATCTGGCCCTGTGTGGCTGACAGTGCCGCCCCTGAGTTACACGTATCTACAGTACCCCTAGGACACTTGCATATTCCATATGATCCATTTTTGTTTCACAAATGGATGAAGAAAGCTTTATAAGCATGGTCACCAAAGTGCCACAGTTTCAGATTTCTCTGTAATAAACACAYATTACTCGTTTGATTAGAACAGAAAATTATTAACAGTTTTTTTAAAAGGCAGTTAACTTCAATGCGATTTCTTTGTTGGGGTGTTACACAGCTTGAAATGGGCCACCTTAGCAGAGCTCCAGAATGTGCCGATGGCGGCCCCAACACATTACCTGCTGGTCTTGGCGTTCCCCAGGCTGAAATGGACACAGTTCAAGCATTGGTCTGCATTGGGGCCATTACAGCCTTTGTTCCCACACTCTGGATGGCACACACCTTAAAGAAAAAACATTTCCTTTATCCAGAGAGATGCCTTCTCCATCCAATCCAGTCCCCTGTGGTCCCCGACAGAGCATGTGGCAGCCTGATGAGGTTGGGAGGATTTCCCTTTAAAGTGGTGGTTCTGTGAAGGCTGGGTGGACAGACAACAAGGCCCCATGGGATGTGGTCCCAGCCAGAGCTGGGTCTAGCCAGAAATCTAGTGTCAGAGGGCCCAACACTCTAGACAGCAATACCATGAGAACAAGTAACGCAGTCAACCCTGGGAGAGAGCCAAGGTCAGTGAGGAGATGGGGATTGTGAGAGGCAGGAGGATGGAGGAGAGAGAGGCAGGGAAAACCTGTATTAAGTTCCTTCACTTATACCACAGTCATTATGTTGGGACCAGTCAGTTCTCTGATTTCCACTGTGAAGGACCCAGGAATGCAATTTGGGGGTGTTTTAGGTGTTAGGAAAGCTGCCACCATGGGTGCTGAGGCAACATGAATTAGGCAGGAGGAAGAGCGCAGAGAGAATTCTGTACATGCTCCAGCGGGAATGAGGATGGATTTCTACGTGTCTGGACCACCTGGTATAGCTGGTGCTTCAAGAGCCAGGGTGGACAGAGCCAGAGCCTGAGTGTGTCAAACTGGGTGAGTGGGAGCCGGGTGCACACGGGGGTGGGAGTGGAGTGGAGTGCTGCTGCTGTGGGCTTCTTCCTGCAGACTTCTTTTTGGCCTCCCTGGTTCTTGCCCTCAGTAGTGGGACACCAATATCTTCCCGTAAGTCCTCCCAGGTCCCTGAATTCTAACCCTGAGCTTGTATGTGGTTGGAAAAGTGACACAAATGTAGGGAAGCTCAAAGATTCCAGCAAACTTCTTGATCTGGGTCTCTTCCTGATAAGAGTCAGGGATGAGCTGGCTTTCAACGTCCATCCTTTTAGGCTGGGGGGTGGGCATGTTTGTAGGTTTCCTCTCCCTCCTGTTCTGCATAAGTGACAGCTGTGGGAGCCAGTCTGTGCTGGGATTCCAGACTTACCCACCAACCCCATCCCTTCTATGGGGAAACTGCTCRGGGAAACCTCCTGGATAGCTGAGAGGGGACCCAGGGAGGGACTGCGTGAGGCATTATGAAGGCTCCTGAGTCTCTGGAAGGGAAAACAAACCTTCTGCAAGGTTTGAGTTGTTGGAAGGGGTGGGGAGTGAGTTCAGAAGCAAAGAAGAGTTAATTTGCTGGCCACCCRCATTTCACGGGGAAATGGGAGGGTAAGACAAAAGTCCTCATTCTCAGCGGCTCACAATGGGTCTTTGCTGAGGCATACAAAGCCCTCTTCATTCCTTCTTCAAGAGTCTCCMGCCTTCCCAATGTCAGACTCGAGTTATTTTGCTACCCTCCTGGAGGTTCAGTTCACTGTGGTTGATATTTCCCGAGTTTTCATTGTGGGTCTCCGCCTGCCTGTGTTCCCACTGCACACTCCTTTCAGAGCCGTGGTCATCTCCAGGACGCTCCGGACTGCTGCCTCTTCTGGTCCTGGCTGGCTAGTCCGGTGTTCTAGATAAGCCTAACATTTCCAAAGTTTATCACTGAACCACACCCTCCCCTCCAGCTCTGCACTATTTTACTATTTTGGAATTGATTCTCATCTGATTTGGATTTCTGTGCACTGTGTCCGGGGTCATTTGTGGGGTAGTCTCAGAATGCTTTGTTTCATCATACCTTTTTTTTTTCTTTCAGTACTGGGGATTGAACAGGGCCAAGCAAGTGTTCTAACACTGAGCTACACACCAGTCCTTTAACAAAAAAAAAAAAAAAAATTTTTTTTTTTTTTAAATTTTGAGACAGGGTCCTGCTAATTTGCCCAGGCTGTCCTTGAACTTGTGGACCTCCTTCCTCAGCCTTCCAAGAGGCTGAGATTGCAGGAATTCCCTCCATCTTAAGGGAGCTGGGTGTGTGTGTTGGGAAGAGGGGGTGACAGACCAATCTTCTCTTCCTCCAGGCACTGGAGATGGTAGCACCACACAGGCAGGATCTGGTCTAGCTTACTCATTTTCAGTGCTTAGAATGGCATCTGGAGGGCTGGGATTGTGGCTTAGCGGTAGAGCGCTTGCCTTACATGGACGGGACCCGGGTTTGATCCTCAGCACCACATACAAATAAAGGCATTGTGTTGTGTCCATCTACACTTAAAAAAAAWWAAMMWTTTTTTTAAAAAAGAATGGCATTTGGCACAGAGCAGGTGCTCAGTAAATATTTGCTGAAAGGCTGAGGGGTTAGAGTATGGATGAAAGAAGACTGGACAGAAACAGGAGAAGTGCCAATGTCCCCACCACCTGTATACACAAGGTTCCAGGATGTTCTGGGAGAGGAACAGCCTGAGGGGAGGGCCTGGACTGGTGTATATAGCTGCTGGTACATGGGATGTAGATATCACCCCCAGAGTCCCCCTTGGAGACAGCCTCTCTGTGGTGGAAAGTTTCATGACAATCCAGAGGGGAACCAACCCCTGGTAAGGCAGGGCAGCAGAATTCTGAGACAGCATCAAGGTCTCCAGCAACGTCCAGCCCCAGCTGGAAAGGTCAAGAGGAGAAACTGCCCATCCAAGGGCTGAGGATACTTAGATAAATATCTGTAAACAAACCTCCCCACATGGGACTCTCTGTTGGGACTGTTTAAAAAGCCAAATATCCACATTCATCTCTTCCATGAAACACTGTAAATGAAACCTGGCTGGTCATCTTGTCCCAATCACTCCTTCACTTCTAAGAATGTTCTGGTACACCCATTACTTATTCTTTGGATGAACTTGGGTTCTTTGTGTTGCAATTTATATTTATGCCTGCATTTCCTCTTTCCTTCATTAGTGAAAGTTCCTCCAAGACCCACAGTCTTCCTGGGCCATTTTCTACCACTCCTAGCAGAGGCTCCCAGTAAAAGGCACATTCGATTAATGTGCAGAACAGGCTTTCTAACAGCTGACCCCACCTGCATACGGAGTTAACTGACACAGGCTAACTAAAAACTCCATCTTAGAAATTTTGTGGAGCAAATCCAGAATTTAAAAAATACAAATAGGGCTGGGGATGTGGCTCAAGCGGTAGCGAGCTCGCCTGGCATGCGTGCAGCCCAGGTTCGATCCTCAGTACCACATACAAACAAAGATGTTGTATCCACCAAAAACTGAAAAATAAATATTAAAAAATAAAAAAAAAATAAAAAGAAATAAAAAATACAAATAAAACAAGCGTTAGCAGCTTGGGAGTTCTCGATGGACTTTGTCATTAGTGTGCAGACTGTGCTGGAGGAACARTGGATTCAGAAGATACTGGCACCTATTTTGCCCTTCACCCTATCCACAAAAGGGCACCCAGGGAAAGTTACCTCCATTAACACTATCAGACTTGGAGCAGGATGCAAAAGTCAAGCTGGTTGGTAAAGACGTGCCAACGAGAATAACAGACGGCTCTCATTGTGTCTGGCCTCGTTCTTGACTGCTAGGTGACCTAAGTGAGTTATTTAATGCTCTTGAGCCCCTGGTCTCATCTATACTGAGCCTATGACCCCATTCAATCCCTACATGTACACACCATGCACACTGTGAACCAACTGCTGTGTACCTGTCAGCTGTCCTGGAACCTTGTCTGTTTTCTAGACAAGAGGACATGCTCTCTTGACTCCCCTCATGGTCCTCTGTGGATGGCCACACTGTCCCGAGCTGTCCTCCACCATTCATCTTCCTTCCAAGAAGCTCAATAATTGCTTCTTTCCTGAAGCCCAGGCTTTCCTCTGTTCCCACAATAGTTCTGTCCTGGCCTCTCTGCCACTCTCTGGTAGGAACCTGAACCCCTCCCTGTGTCTTGCCAAGTCCTTGCTTGTCTCAGCATCTGCTGGCTCCCTAGGCCACACCACCTGGAATCACATGTGTGCTGGCTACCRGCGAAGACTTCCTAGCACCTCAGACCTACTGAATTCCAGTTCTTGGGGTGGGGCCAGCCCAGAGCCTGTTCTTTAATCAAGTGTCTTGGTGGTGGCCTCTATCTCTTCTGTGGCCACCAGGGGGCTCTGTCCCRCAGGCTGGTCCTCACTGCAAAGTTGTCCACCCTCAGTAAGGCTGGCTGATGTCTTTCCTGTGTCTCACTCTGTCCATTGTAGCTGCTCTACTTCTTCCTGCCAGGCCCTCTGGTCCCCAGACCCCCACCACCATGCTGAGTCACTGTCCACACCCTCCTTTACCTTAGGAACTCCAGAATTCACCACTGCCTTAGCCTTCCTCCTGCCTCGGCCTGGAGAATAACTCTGGTTGTTGTTTCTGCCTCCATTCCCAGGGAGCGATGTGGGCTGAGAGTGTCTGGTGGCTACCTGGTCCACCTCATGAGGGCTCCCTTTGCAGGGCAGCTTTTCTGCCTGGCTCTGGCCAGGTTCTGGTCTGGTAAGATGCTCTGAATATGTCTCCTGAAGGTTTATAAGCTGGAAGTTTGGTCCTCAGTAGGACAGTATTGAGGTGGTGGAACCTTTAAGCAGTAGGTTCTAGGACAAGGTCATTAGGGGTGCTGCTCTTGGAAGGGATGAATGCTAACTCTCTGGGTCTGTTAGTTTTAGCAAGAGAAAGCTGTTATAAAGTGAGGCCACTCCACATACTTCTCTGCCATCTTGTGATGTAGCCATGAGGCCTTCCCCAGAGGTCAGACGGATGGACCTTCCTAATCTTGGATTTCCAACCTTCTAAACTGTGAATTAAATAAATCTATTTTCTTTATAAGTACTTGGCTTTGGGTATTTTGTTATAGCAACAGAAGATGGGCTAATGCTACGTCCAACACCCCCTGTAAGGGTCCTGCTCCCTTTTAGTGGATCATGTTGCCTGCTACTATTTGGAGGTCCTTGCAGTCCCTAGACTTCCCTCTCCATCCCTTGTTCATATCCTCTATTTCTCATCCTGGGGAAAGTTGGTCCTTCCTGCGGTTGGCTGCTGGTACCACTGCTCCGTCATATTTCCCCTGCCCTTCTGTCCACAGGGTCCAGATGAAACCTCTGCCAACCTGGGCCCAACACCCTCAATAAAATGTTTGCCCATGGTCAGCTCCCCACATTCTGGAAGTTCCATTCCACATCCCCCTTGACCTTTCTTTGGACTCTAAATTTGTTGTCCTTGTCCCCCCTCCTTCTCCTTTGTCCCTCACATCACGGCACCCTCTGGTTCTTATTCCCTCTGTCCTGGTTTCTAGTGCTGGTCCACCCTTCCATTTGYCCCTGAGATCACAGGGAGCCTCTCTGAGAGCCAGGAAAGCATCTCACTCCCCTGGAAACCCCTCTATCCATTCAGGCCATGCTCAGTGATGCAGACTGAGAACAGCCTGACAGTTGAGGTTCCAGTGTATGAGGCTGGGAGTCAGCAGCAGATTTTAAGGAAAAAAAATCAGTTCTTTATTAATAATTACTGAATCTTGCCACTGTTTATAAATCACAGGGGGAAACAGAGCAGATTAGTCCATACATAATTCAATGCTCTGTTTTAAAGAAATGGTGAAAGAAATTTAAAATGGAATCAACTATAATTTATGCTTGATTTGTATTGGTAGAATTCTCCATTTTGTTACTATTTTTTCAGAGGATATTGGATAATTCAAATCWTCCATATTCTGTGATATCACCCATCATTTATCAAATAGCCAGAATATTTATCTAAGAAAAATATGCCCAACCAGAAACACCTGGTGTCACACAAATCACCATGAGATGGGTGGCTCAAGGGGAAAGGAACCACTTTTGACCTAATGTGTTAAAAAAAACCTGTATCTAGAACAGTATCAGGAGATGTCCAAAGCCCTGTTAGGGGATTGTGGCTCTCGGCTACCTTGAAAATGAGCTGGTGGCTCAGAGCCAAGGGCTACCTTAGCAAAAGATGGCTAGAGAGAAAGGATCTGCACAGGCATCTTAAGTTCTGAGAGTTTTTAAGGATGCTTCTGTAGGATCAGTTTCTACTGATGATTCCCTTCTCTGGGTCTCCAATCCTACCCTCAAGGATGGTGGAATGTCTACCTCCAGCTCCTTTCCTGGCTATGTTCCCAGAACCTGACCTTCTTGAGGCCTTGATAGTAACTGCTTCCTTCCCACGTTCTGGCCACTGGAAGKGCATGGACTTGAGGGCGTCAGGAGGCTGAGCCAGGTGATGGGGACCTCTGAGGAAAGGGAAGTGTCCCTGGGGTAGCACATCCCAGTTCTGGTGGGGCGTAGAGGGGCTCAGTGTCCCAGCCTGGGAAGGTCAGAGAATACTTACTGGTTTGAAGCATACTTACTGGTCTGTAAGACATTAGGAGAGACTTGGATGGGAGGAGCTGTGTGAGTGCAAATGAYGGTCATTATTATGACTTCAGGGCAAGAGAGGACCTACAACCACAACCCTGCCTTCTGCCAGGAATGGCCCCCACCTTAGAGAGTCACAGTGGGAAACCAAACTCGAGGAAGCTAGCCGTGTCCTCTTGTTTCCRACTCCTTACCTGTGTAATCTTCTTCATCCTCCAGCCCCTCAGCCTGGGACAGCCACTTAGCAGCCTTGGGTGGCTCCAGCTGTGGGGTTGAGAGCTCCAGCATCCGCGAGCGGGACTGATGGGAACTGAAGGTATGGTAGGGGTGCTCCGCTGTGCCATATAAAATGAGGCTCCACTCTTTCAACTTCCCTGGAAGGCAACAGACCCACCGAGTTATTTCAGGAAGCTCTTGATACACCCGTGTGCTCCTTTACCTGTGCATAGGCCTCCATCGCTGTGGCCCATGGCTTTCACTGCCTGCTCACCTACTAATCAGGTGTACTTCTACCACCAGGCCACATACTGCTCTCTCTGTATGTCCCACTGCTGCAAGCCAGCACTCCTGGACTCTTGTGCTATTGAGCTGCCCTATGCTTCYGTCTTTGCTGGTGGCAGGGGTGGGGTGTTGGTAGGGGTAATGGTGTTTTTTAATTATACTCTCCACCCTCCTGGAGAGTGTCTTTGGCTCCTCTGGTCTCACAGCAGATTCTCTTGATGCTGCCTCCCCAAAAAATGGCAATAGCAACTTGTCCCCCTTGAGAAGTTCAGTGGTAACCTGGGTGTCAGGCTGGCTGGGAGCTTTGTCTCATAACCTCCATTTGTGATCACTAGATTGTATTGAGGGGCCCTGCAACCTGGATCTTCAACTCTAGAGCACAGAAGACTTGGTCTTATGCTTTCCTCCACAGCCAGTCCAGGGCAGTATTAGGGATAGTATTGCTGGTACAAACTCAAAAGTYTACAGAGGTTGAGTGTAGGGGGAACATGCTTGCAAAGAGGATGAATGATACATATGCCAAGCTCTGCTGGGGAAATCTCGGTAGACAGGTCTGGGGAGGACAGGAGCTGATGCGAAGGCAGCCAGTCTGTGATAGGAGTGGTGCAGACATTGCTCTGCTTATAGCCTCCATGTGGAAATGGCAGCTCATGTGATGAGGTTGGCTCAGCTATAAAGAGAAGTGGGAAATCTGGCCTGTGATTTCCAGGTGAACTGCTGATGTCATAAAACACATGACAGATATGTGACATGTACTTGTGGGCAGGGTCAGCCACATGTGGCTGGTTTAGGCCTCCTTTTCTTGTGATAGTGTCCCCTGCATTCGGGCAGGACATCTATGTTAAGAAGGTCCTTACCGTCATTCTTATATGAGGGGCCAGAGTGATCTGCCCAAGGACATACTGCTCATGCCAATAGMACTCTGCTGCCTGGACTCTCAGAGTTTATTTATAACTGAATTAGCTCCAAACAAGATGCTCTCACACCCACCATGAATGACCTTGATGAATCCTCACTGTGACCAGCTATGAACAATGCTTTTGCCAGCTGCTTCTCCGTGTCAGCTGGGAAAATCTCTAGCTTTCATTTCCTTTTCGGTCATGAGGTTTCTTGCCAATCAGAATGCTTTAGGCAAGAAAATGTATCATGATGATTCTTTGATATGTATTGTGTTTTTACTGTCACTCACTCTGCTCATCTCAAAGACTCCCATCTCTGCCTCCAAATGGCAGGCAGAGAACTGCCTACAGACAGTTTTTGCAAYGTGGGCAGCTCTGCCACAATCAACTTTATCTTTTGCTCCAATTCTGGGAATCTCTTAGACTCTTTAAATCCAAATCAGAGGACTCTGGCTCATCAACATACCACAGGCCTGTGGGCGCAAACCATATAGTCCTAGGTAGGTGGGCTGAAGCGACAGCCAGAACTGGTCCTATAGCTCACCAGTCCAAGCTCAGTAGACTTTGATCTGGTTACACCGTGAGGCACATTAGAAGCACTGTTTTGTTTTAACYGTTGCCCTAGGTGACTAAGGTACCAGATTCCAAAGCTTCCAGCCCCTAAACTGCCAGTTATTATTTAAATAGCACCCCCAAATTTAAGTGTTGGAAACTTAAGCCCCAAATTCATGTTAACAGTAACTTGGAGGTGGGGCCTCTGGGAGGTAATTGAGATTAGCTTATCTCATGAGGATGGGACCCCATGATGATATTTAGAGGAAGAAGATATATTCCATGTTTGTATAAATATGCCAAAATAGACTCTATTGTTAAATATAATTAAAAAGAAATACATAAAAATAAAAAAGACAAAGAAAAAGAAGAGAAACTTGAGCCAGCATGCTTCCTCTGTTTCATTATGTGATGTCCTTTGACATGTTATGATGCAGCAAGGTGGCCCTTTCCAGATGTCAGCACATGCTCTTGGACTTCCCAGCCTCTAGAACCAAGAGCTTAATAAATAAACCTCTGTTCATTATAAATTACTCAGTCTTAGGTATTTTGTTATAGCAACGGAAAGCAGACTAAGACACTGCCCTGAATCAGAGCCTATACTGCCTGAACCTCTCCTGGCCTGRCCAGCATCAGAGGATGTAGGCAAGGTCCTTTGACTTGAAAAAACATTCTCAAGCAGATCATTTCTTAGTACAAGATCTTCCAATAGGCGTAGTTCTTTTACATGCATGGTGGCCCATTTCTCTAATATGCTTCCTAACCCATATYGCACATTTGATAATGGTAACATAGGAGGTGCCTTATGCAGTTGCAGGAGCAGAAAACAGTCATGGAGATGAATCTTCATCCGTCCTCAAATCCTCAGGATCAAATTAAAGCTGCATTTCAAAACCACAAAGGAATCTGGGYTTTTTAACCACTGAGTGATGAACGGTGATTAAGCGGGGAGTGTAACGACACAGGGACAGAGGCCACGGGCTCTCTGGGCTATAATTGGAGTTGAAATTTATTTCAGCCCTGAAGGGTATTTTCAAATACACCCAACAAAGGCCTACTCACTGAGATTAGGTTCTTATTTTTAGATCTAGTTTTGGTAAAACAAACAGAAGGGTCTGCTCCACACTCAGGATGCATGGTGTTCCCCATGTGGAGGGAGAGAGGGAGAAGAAAGAATCCCAGCACCAGCAGCAGGGCCACCTCTGGGGAGGGAGCTGGAAACGAGGCTGGGGCTCAGAAACGGAAAAGACRCTTTGCTTTTAGTATATTCCCTTAGGGACTGATTGTCTGTTTGTTTTTAATATTTATTTTTAATATTTTATTTTAATGTGGTCCAGAGGATCGAACCCAGTGCCTCATGCATGCTAGGTGAGCACTCTACCACTGAGCCACAACCCCAGACCGGACTGATAGTTTTTTAAAGCCATAAGCATGTACTGTTTCACCTGTTCACATATATAAACTTAAAAAAAAATTAAACTGCAATGAAAAAAAATCTATCGACAAAGCTGTTGCATAGTTAAAAAAACACTAAAAAGCAGTAGTTGTCAAAGCTTTTATGTTTCTGAATAAGTAATACACAAAGATAGTTCCAAATCCAAAAGTATAAAAGGGAATACAGYGGAATTCTCTCTCCCATCCCCACCCCATGGGTGACCACGGTGACTTACTCCCTGTGCATCCTTCCAGAGGTATTTTTTTTTCTTACTCAATAGAAATGTGAACATATATCCTGCCCTGTCCTTTTTATTAACACATATCATAGCACTTTCTGAACCTTGCTTTTCCCATTAACAATGGGAATCATTCCCTTGCTGTACCAGGGACATGTAGCATTGCTTACCTAAATAAATCCCTACTGAGGGGCATTTAGGTTGTTTCCAGACTTTTGCAATTATAGACAGTGCTGTCACCTTGTAACCTGTGCGGCAAACTTGGTCATGCAAAGAAGGATTCAATGAGGGAGAAAGATCAAGGGCTCTGGAACAACAGTATCTGAATGCTGTCTCTGTCCTCTATTCRCTGGGTGACCTTGGGCAAGTGACTTCATCTCTGTTCTTCAGTATCTACCTCTAAAGAGTAGGGGTAGTAATAATTCTTCCTTATAGAGTTGTCTGGGACATTAAACAATTAATGATAACAAAGCACATGGAACAGTGACTGACATCCAAGTGCTGCCTCCTGTGTGTTTGTTAAATAARATCTGAAGACCAGATCATTTTGTACGTTTGTAAGAGGATCTTCAGGTCACAWTCATAGAAGCAAGACCAGGCATTAAAAGGGGCATGCTCTTCCACACTGGGGACCATGGCTGGGATTGCCAACCCAATAACTCAGAGACGTTAACTTCACATTTCTCTTACGTGAGAAGTTGAGCATCTTCTCATATAATTAAGAGCTAGACCCCTTCCTGATTTAATAAAATTTGAAGCTCAATTTACCAAAATTATTTGCTGGGAACAAAATGATGAGTTTTCAAAAGATGCCTAAAAGTACATTGTAGCCATGCTCAYGGCAAGTCCAAGGGGCATGAGAAAGTGTTTTGCTCACATCTGGCTTTTATTTTTGTTCCTTTTACATGCAAGATATTTATCAGAGCTGGGCGTGGTGGAACAYACCTGTAATCTCAGTGGCTCAGGAAGCTGAGGCAGGAAGACTGCAATTCAAAGCCAGCCTTAGCAACTTAGAGAAGACCTAAGCAACTTAGCAAGACCCTGTCTCAGAATGAAAAATAAAAAGGGAGGGCTGGGGATATGGCTCAGTGGTTAAGTGCTCTGGGGTTCAATCCCTAATACTACCCCTCTCCAAAAAAAAAAAAAAAAAAGATATTTATCAGAGCCTATGAGGGCCAAGTAGTGTGCTAACAAGCTGCAGAATTGACTCCCAAGCGCTGAAAAAGAGCTGGTTCCCTGAAGGCAGGGGCTCGAGGCAATGCCTTCACCTACCTGGAAACCCCACCTTTCCTAACAAGCAGGATCTGGAAAACATGACCTCAGGTTGTGGTTTAGATAATGACAATTTTTCTCTCTCTTTCTCATACTTATACACTCTTTTTTTTTGCTTTCTCTACCAAGGGAGTTACCAATTTTCCGTTGCTTTCCTAGGACATAAAAAGAATCATTCCACATTTATGGCATTGAGTGTATGGCATAAAATGTACGGCATGAGTTTGAAGTATGACTTGAAGTTATTTTTCCTCGAGTTATAAAAGGAGACAAATTATTAAATATTGAAACAAATAAAGAAGAAAGTACAAATCATCGATAGCTCCTGCGGCGCACTTTCTTCTGGGCTGTTTTCTCTGCGAGTGCATTTTCTCCCCTCAGCATTGCATCACATTCATTAGGTTCAGAAGTTGTCCTACTTATTTACTTGCTCATTGTTTTGGGGTAAAATGTCTTTTTTAGCTGGTGCATTAGCTT